CATTACCAGGCCACAGTGTAAAATTTCCTTAAACATATATTAGCCGACAGAAATTAGCCTCAAGGAAGTCTACAGAAAAGGCAGTGTGGGGCACTGGAGAAAACATGGGCCTTGTCCTTGGAGAGCTCAGTGCTCAATGCTGACACACAATAGTGCATAATAAATGATAACCAGTCTATGGTGCAGAAAAAGGAATGTTTACTCATCTTTTCCTCACCTGACTGCTCCTTCGGAAATAAAATCCTTCATTCTACCTAAATTTTCCATGTGACTAAAAATTTCTATTCGCTACCTTAATAATGTTGGGAATGGAGACAATAATGGTCAGGAATTCAGGAGCTGGAGTCAGTCCCTGGGTTTGAACGCGAGCTATTCCATTTACTGGCTGTGTGATCTCACGCAGGCTATGTGTGCCTGAGATCTCAGCCTTGCCTGAAAGTGGGCGCCATGACAGCACCTATACTTCACTGGGCCACTGTGAGGATTAGAAGAGATAATCCATGCACAGGACTAGCACAGCAGCTGGCACATGGGTATTCAAAAAACAATTCATTACAATGACAGTATCACCCACTAAGACTTTTATTATTCTTATTCTTATTATATTTATTCTGGAATAAAATGAGAAGCAATGAGTTTTACATGATTAATATGACATATTAGGAAAGTTCAACCCAAAGCTTTTATTCACCATTCCCTTTGTACCCAAAAGGCCCTGGATGTTGATTTTTAATTGAGGACATGAACAACTTTTCAAAACACATGACTAACAATTCACAAAGAAATATCTGGTTTTTCTGGTAGATTTTTGTACATTGTGAAAGCAGCCAGAGGCATTTCAAAGTTTCCTAAACTGATAAGACAATGAGCTGCCACTGCACTATACTAGTAAAGAAAAATAACCAGATCGGTTTTGGAAAGCCTACCTTAGAGGCAGCAAATATAAGTTAAAGTTATGCATTTCAACTTAAGTTATTAACATAGAGGGTTTATACTACATATACTCCTATCTTTCATTTTCTAGGAACAAATTAGTCCCAGAACCACTGCAGTACACTTTGCAATATTAATAAAGAATTACCTAGAAAGAGAGAAATGCATTTGGGAGCCATCAAAGTATGTTTTAACTAATCTATAACATTAAAATGTGAAATAAAAATAATTTGTCTTTCCCATTTTCCTTTCAACTTTCTTGGTATATTCCGACATTAGAGTATATAAAACAGCATACCTAAATACTGAAAATATCTAGCAATTCAACCTGAATATTATTTTCTTGTTGGTCAAATTAATGCATTCTAATATACTCCAGAAAATTCTAATTGCATGAAATTTATGCTAAATTTGTTTTTCAATTTTTCTTCTACTTACTTGTGCAGCCATGCAAAGGAAGGTATATATTAAAAGCCTTCTCATTCATCATTTACTTGCTTATTAATTTATTTGGGAATTAAATTTTGTTTTCATAACAATTCTTCATCTGGAAATACTGGCTCATATAATGCTCACTACTTGAGATTGATGTTCCTTCTTTATGAGGAAATAAACTGATAAGTTACACAATAGAGCAAGTAATAGAAGAATCTGGTTAAACAAGCTTTCTAAAAATAAGACAATTCATTCTATATACATGGGCAGATTCCTAAATATTTGAAAGCCATAAAAGACAATTAACTCTAAAACTATACATATTTCAGAAAATCCAATCTTTCACTAATGACGTCGAAGATAGTTTAGGATGCTACAATGTTACAGGTCATCATTAACAAAACTGGCCATCATTGTATTATGCTTTAGCCAATGAGATGCCAGATAAACTAGTTTTTACTCTACTGGTCTGCCCCATAAAGCACACATAAACTAAGGGAAGATATGGTCCTGCTAGATCCTACCAAAGCTATAAAAATTCTGAATTAGTGAAATTCTGACTTAGACAATGTAATTCTTAGTCATATATTCCAACCTGGACATACAGAAATCCCTTTTAATTATAGTGCTAAATTTAATAATGGATTTTTAAAGTGCCAAGTCAAATAGATAACCATTGTAGTATGTAATCAAACAAGAGACTTAATATTGTCTTTCTCTAGTAAATAAATGAAATTCTGCTTTACTAGATCCAATGTATATATTTTTAAAAATCAGGTGACACAGGCTTCTAGATTAATTAAGTAAATTAATTTCAATTAATTTGCATGGACGTCTAGATTTTGTATAGTACATGTATTAGTTTTTTATTGCTACTGGGACAAATTACCACAATGTGAAATCACCTTGGGCTGAAATCAAGGTTGCCTAGTCTGTGTTTCTTTCTGGAGGTCTTGAGAGAGAATCACATTTCCTTGCCTTTTCCAGCTTCTGGAGGCTCCTGCATTCCCTAGCTCATGCCCCCTGCCTCCATCTTCATGTAACCTAATGTAGTCACATCCAGGGTGTGGGTCATTTTGTGTGGCCATTATTCTGCCTATAATGGTACATCAGCCTTTTGCCTAAACCTGTAATATTCAATTCAAGTTAATATTCACCCAGTAAATTAAAATTCTCTAATATTATTATTACTAGAGGCCCGGTGCACAAAAATTTGTGCACTCAGGGGGGAGGGGGGGGTCCCTCAGCCCGGCCTGTGCCCTCTCGCAGTCTGGGACACCTCAGGGGATGACCACCTGCTGGCTTAGGCCCGCTCTCCGGGGGATTGGGCCTAAAATGGCAATCAGATATCCCTCTGGCAGCCCGGCAGCCCTCGGGGGATGTCCACTTGCCAGCGGGGAGCAGGCCTAAACTGCAGTTGGACATCCTTAGTGCTGCTGAGGAGGCAGGAGAGGCTCCCACCACCACCGCTGTACTGGCAGCCATCAGCCTGGCTTGTGGCTGAGCAGAGCTCCTCCCATGTGAGAGCACCCTGACCACCAGAGGGCAGCTCCTGCATTGAGCGTCTGCCCCCTGGTGGTCAGTGTGTGTCATAGTGACCAGTCATTCCCAGTCCTTCTGTTGTTAGGGTCAGTTTGCATATTACCCTGTTACTATATAGGATAGAGACCTGGTGCACGGGTGGGGGCCGGCTGGTTTGCCCTGAAGGGTGTCCCGGATCAGGGTGGGGGTCCCGCTTGGGTGCCTGGCCAGCCTGGATGAGGGGATGATGGCTGTTTGCAGCTGGTCACACCCCCTTCAGGGTGGGGGTCCCCACTGGGGTGCCTGGCCAGTCTGGGTGAGGGGCTGAGGGCTGTTTTCAGGCTGGCGGGTGACTGAAGCTCCCAACCTCTCCTTTTTTTCTTTTCTTTTTTTTATTCTGGGATTTATTTACCTTCTATGGCTATCACTGGAGCTGAGAGCCGGCTTTAGCTCTGAGGCTCAGCTCCAGCTCTGAGGTCTCTGCTGCTGAAAGCAGGTATCTGGGCTTTGTTTAGCTTCTATAATTGAAACACTGTTGCAGCTCCAGCTCTGAGGCCCAGCTGGCTGAAAGCAGGTTTCTGGGGTTTGTTTAGCTTCTATAATTGCAACATAGTTGCTTAGAGTGCAGCTCAGAGCTGGGTGGCGGCAGGCGGGGAACCTTGGCTTCCTCCATCACTGGAGCAAGCAAGCCTCCTGTTCGCTTCAGCTGCCTGGCTGCCGGCCGCCATCTTGGTTGGCAGTTAATTTGCATATCACTCTGATTAGCCAATGGGAAGTGTGTCAGAGGTATGGTTAATTACCATGTTTGTCTATTATTAGATAGGATTATTTGCAATGAAAATTTAAAATAAAAATATGTAAATTTGCAACAGATTGTTACATTTTAGCTCAATAGATATGTCAATGTGCCCAGCCACTGATTTTTTCCCATTCATGTTTGCATAAATTTGGCACTTCATCCATGAGTTTATCACAACTCAGTACACTATGATAAAAGTATTATTCCCTCAAAACAATGTAACACATATTGCTTACTATACCTGTTATGTGTTACTGCACATTATCTTTTTTACCCCGAGGCTACATCTCAGACACAGTAAAAGCTTCATAAGGAAATACTCTTCCAAAAACATTGACTTCACACATACATTTTTGAGGAAGAGGGCTTTTGGAAGAGTTGATTGTTAGTGCTGGCATGGATTCTGGAGATACCACATGCTGTGTTAGAAAGGATACAGAGAAAACTTGGCTCAGAGACCCTCGCCGTCTTGCTTGAGGTCACTAAGCTAATCTGAGACAGATCTGTCTCCTGATAGAATAAGTCAGCAATTCCCCCACAATTATGACGCCATTCACCTTGCACATGAAATAGTCAACTATGACTCTTCATCACCTTATCACATTGTAAATCAATAACTTTGCCAATTCACACCTCAAGGGATTGCAGAAGTTGTATTTTATTATTCTGTCCTATGACAACATTAGCCTAACTCAAGGATAAAACCCTAAGCAGACCCTGTGTAAATTATACAAAATTTATTACTGTTACACAATAAGGAGAAACTTAGTACTTAAAAAGGAGAAACTGCCAAGTAGACAACAAAAATGAAGGATGATAACCTAGACCAATATTGCAGCTAATTTCCATAAATCAAAGAAAAACTTGCAAATACTGAACTTTTTCATGATTAAAACAATGATGTTTTCTTTTGGTGGATTACAATGAGAAGAGCACAAGGACCTTTGAAATGTATTTTCTGGGACAAATAAAAGATGATTTAGAATCAGCACAGTTTGAGCAGCATCATTATGCCCAAAGTATTATAGAAATTCTGTCATTTCCCCCAAATATTTTAATACATGCTCAAAAAATATTAACTAAACACAGTGATAGCCTTAACTTAATAAATTACAATTGTCACTCTGATTTTCAAACTAATTTTGTTCAAATATTAAATGCATATTATCTCTATAAATATAGAGATATATAATTTCCTTTAGAAAATAGGACTAAATTTCACTTTTTAAAATGTTGTAGGAGAAAAAGCCTCTTAAGTTATCAACATAACTTTATTTTCTTGGTTTGTAAAGGAGACTTAAAATCAACTTACTTGATGTAATAGGGCACTTTATTATGTGAAATGGATCTTTGCCACGGCAGCTGGACTGAAGCTGAGGAAACAAAGGGAGGTTATTGGAAACACTGCTAACCCCACAGCCTTATGCCTTAATGCAAAGCAACTGAACATGTTTTACAGAAAATTCAATGAAAAATGCTCTGGTTTTCCAGCTGGATTCCTATAATTATAAAATCTGCAAGGCCAAAAAAACAGTCACTTTAAAAATTCATTTGAAGCAATAAAAGAACACAGGTCCAATTTCTAATGCCACCTCGAAGTAATTGAACTTGTTGATAAAATTACTTTTCAAAATCAAGTTTTATTGGTCATAGTCAACACAGTGTAAAACTTAGTACTCTTTGCCATATATATATATATATATACATATATATATATATATGGCATATCCAGATTATAAACTAAATTTCTCAAGACTGAAATTTCCAAATCACTAGTAACATTCTTTGCTTTATTTTATAGTCACAGGAATAACTATTAAGAACAATTGGCATTTAAGCAAACTCAATCATATGAATTTTTAAAAAGGAAAATTAAAATAAACATAGGCAAAGGGTTGTAAAGAACCAAGGCAATTAAATGGATAGAAGAATCTCAAATATGTACTTCATTTTAAATACACAGAAAATATAGTTTCCTACATTTTTACACTTGACATCACTATGATGGAGACTTTGCGAGACTTTTTCACTGAGGTACTTCTTTTTTTTTACAATTCTAGTTACTCCTTATATTATTCCTAAATTAAGCCAATTATTTTAAGGCTTATTTAAGAAGAACTGTACATGTGAATTTAGAGAAATTTTGCTAAACGAATAAACAAATTAAAAAATAAATAAAACTTTATAACTACCACTAGATTCTCATACAACTAGTTTTCACCAATATTCTTTTCTGAATTTTATGTCATAGTACTACCTCAAAAATATATAGCATTCTCAACTCTTAAGTAAATGGCTGAGCTCAGACATCATCTCAGGGTTTCTGACCACTAGTTCGGCAATCTTTCTATTCAACAATTCTTCCTCTCTTTATAAGATGGGAGGACTCCCTTCTCTAACTATGTCCATGAAGTCTTAAAAAGGGATGAAAATGTGGAATGAAGCATATTAAGCTTCTCATTAGAGCCAACCTCATTTCAGTGTTGGCACCAGGGTAATAGGCCGGTTTCTATTTTGTGCCTAACTAAACAGGCTCCTTTTATAACCAGGGCTAATGTCCAAGAAATATAATAAAGCCAAAAATTCCAAGCAGCAGGGATAACAATTGTTAAATTTATTAATTGGGATTGTGTTTACACTTCTCAATTCATTTTCATAATTGTTTTAATTTGAATAATTCTGACCTCCTTAGACTATCAGTGCTAGACAATAGAAGGCAATGCACTTGAGGGTCACAATTTTTACAATGTTTTATTTCCTAAGAAATAAGACTTTGATTTTTATTATGAAAGAATAGTTGCTAAGTGTCGAGTTTCATCAGTACTAATAGATGACTAATCCTTATAACAGAAGTGTAAATAGCGTCTCAGTTCCTTGTTAAATTCTCTTTAATTTGGTCTTAGCACATAGCTTTATATTCTATAAAAGTAAGTTTAAGAAATCTGGAGTGATTCATACTAAATGAGTAGATTGCAAACTTATTTAATTCATCAGCATTGATAGTATCCAAACTTTAGAAATGCATCATGGCATGCAGGTAGACATTATCTTCCAGGAAGTGCTATAGATCACTCAATGATGGCCTATCTAAGGGCTCAGGTGTGTGAAACAGGTGGGGGAGGAGGAGGGAGGGGGAGGGAAAGACAGCTTGAGCACTAGGGGTGTGCTGGGCAGAAATGACTAATTAGGATTACTCTTGAAATTGTGAAAGAAAAGCCTGACCTTGACTTGGAGGTAGAGCAGATTATCAACCATGACAAAATATTAAGAGAAATATAACTGTAATCAATTTAGTTGAAGACATGGTATTACTTCAGTTCTCTCTATGGTTGTAGATACAAAGAAGTTATAACAACGGAAATACACTTTGCCTTAAGTTTTAAACTTCCCCTAAACTGAAATAAGCAAACTCTGTTCTTACATATGTTTGCCAGAGAGAATGAAAGGAAAGGAATTAATGTTTAGTGAAAACATTTGTGCCAAGAACTGTGTTAAGTGCCTTGTGCAACACAACATGTTTTCTCATTTAATTTTCAAGATGATAGAGGAAATAAGTATTATCATAATAATTTTAAGATAAAGAAATTAACTTTAAGCAGAATTACTGTGTTAACCCCAATCTGGGGGACTGATTCCTATGCTTTCTGGTTTCCTCGGCAGTGAAGGCTAAAGTAGGGGCTCCAATTACTTATTCAAGATTTCATGAACAGTCCATAAAATAAAAAAGTTCAGTTGGAGAAGATTACATGAAAATCTGCATATGTGTTTTGGCTAAGTCTCTAACACCTGACCAGCAGAAAAGCTAAATAGAATTGCAGTAAGCCTAACAACTCAAAATCTTCTCATTTAAACATTTGTGGGAAATGAAGTTTTACTTTGAAAGGCACAGGTGCATTTTAAACTAATAGTGCTTTTAAAAGAGAAAAATTAATTTAAAATCTTAAGATACAAAAATGATTTCTTTATTGTGAAAAAGTTCATAACCTTTGCATGTGAAGAGCAATGATGATGTGATACTACAGTAGTTATAATAGACTAGAGGTTTAGTGCATGAAATTCGTGCACTTGGGTGGGGGGGTCCTTCAGGCCGGCCTGAGCCCTCTTGTAGTCCGGGAGCCCCGTGATTGATTGCCCCAAAGAGGGAGGCCCAGGCCACCAGCCAGGGGGCTCTGCAATCGCCCCAAAGAGGGAGGCCGAGGCTACCCTCTTGCCTCTTTGGGGCGATCGCGGAACCCCCTGGCCGGTGGCTTGAGCCTCCCTCTGCGGGGCGATCGTGGGATGATGGCGGGGCCCCCGACCAATCACATTGTACCCGCCTTGGCGGTGGCAGTCAATGCTGGGTCTCCCCGGTGCCCGTGACCCAGGAGGGACCGAGAGGTCAGCAGTTCAGCCCACTCGCCAGTCCCCACCCACCTGAGCCTGCTGTGTGCGCAACCTGGTGTTCAGTCGTCCGTTCAGTCATTTTGGACGTTACGGACCCTGGCTCTTTATATATTAGGATGATGGTTCAGTGGAATGCCACAGCTAAAGATAAGTTACCTTGGCTCCACTTCAAAGATTTACCAATTGTTACCAGGTTATTACAAATAAGAACCAATAAACAATACATTGATCTAATATAAGTAAACATATTTATAGCAAAAATATTGCTTCTTGAGTGAAAAAGCATGCTGATTCATTCATTTCATGAGCTCAGTCAAGTTGATTAGTACTTACTGGAGAGAAAATGCTGAGAAGATGGTCCAAAATCTCTATGGGCTTCCTGAAGCTGCTTAAGGCGATCGTCCACAGAAACCTGCAAAATAATTTGATTTCAAAATAATAACTTTAATAATGTTCCTGATTTAAGCATTATTATAAAAGATGTTACTGCCCCAGATATGATTGCTTGTACAGATTCCTCCTCTATCTCTAAAATCAAAATGCTGGGATGAAAACAGACTCCTTTTGGTACCAAGTGACAGCAAATAGTGCCAGGCACTCTTCTAAGCAATTTATAGGAATGAACTCTTTTAATCCTCATAATCAACATAATTGGCATTATTTATTATGATCACCATTTTACAGATGAAGACACTGAGACATACAGAGGTGTCCAGGACATAAAGTTAGTATGCATAGTGCTAATATTCATAACCAGCTCATTGGGTGCCAGGATCTATGCCTTTGCTGTCACTCTACATTGCCTCGAGAGAGTAAAGGTCATAAACATCTTAAGAGAAGATGTGGCCACGAGGTCAGTGGCTATTCATCTCTCTTTTGTAAGAAAGGTGGCAAAAAGTGTTATGGGGAGCAAATGAAGATCTAAAATATTCCAACAGAGAAAATAGATAGAAAAATAGAAAGACAGTTAAATTAGATGATAGATAGATAGATAGATAGATAGATAGATAGATAGATAGACAGACAGACAAATAGATGATGGGTGGATAGACAGACAGGTAGATAAGACAGATGAGTATGGAATATCTTATTTTCCTCCAAGTTTGTGTCCAATCATCTTGATTTGGGGGTATTCATATACCCACAGAAGAATATGCTTATGCATTTGTTTACACAGATTGTATGGTTAACTCCCTACGTTATGAAAACGCAAAGAGTTGGTACACTGAGAAACTATTGCCAATCAATAACAAATGCACACAGCCTACTGACATTTCCATGTCTCTTTTCCTGGTCTTTGCCTCTACAGTGCATGTAAGCTGTTCCACTTAGTCTGCCGATCTTATTTTCAGCTGCCTTTAAATGAAACGTGTTTATCTCTGGCTCACTGGGCAGCTTTAGTTTCTCCTGGTTGGCTATTTAAGTTGCAGAGCAAGTACTTTTTATTGTTAAGGCCAAAAAGTATTCCTATGCCACACTTTACATTCAGGAGGAGAAAACAAGATGCTACTTCTGAAATTTAACAGCGTTGTCTGGCAGCATAGATTTCCCCCTCTTATTCAACCAGCAACTAGCATCTGAGTTCTAGCAGTCACCAGGCTCAGAAATAAAGAAAGCAGAACACATATCCTGTTTTGAGCGTAGCATATTCCCTGACTTCTAATCTTTTCAGATGGTGATAACAGAAGCAGAATGGGAAGGAAATCAAGGTGGACCACAGGAATACCTACATAAAAATGATGAATTCAAGAAATAAAACAGAAGAAAAAAAGGAGTATTGGTCAAACATTTCTGTCTTCCACTCATTAGAAAAGCACATTTGCATTGAGTTTAGTATCCTGCCTTACTAATCCCAGATTATTAATACTCTTTCAAAGACAAAAAGGAATGTTTAATACTATACAACTCATTTCGTACCACTTCAATTTCATGAAGAAAATATAAACCCATTGTGTGTTTCGATGTTTGAATTAATTCAGGAAACCTATTATGCCTTCAAATGTTTCTGTGTGCCACCTCAAAATTACATATTTATATTATTAAATATCACATTTTAGGCCCAGAATATAGAGAGGAATTAGTAAAAATTATTTTTTCACTCTCCCACTCAAATGATTCTGCTAGTTTTCAAAAAAAAAAAAAGATTATTATGACTCTTGGGAATTGGCCCCTGAATGTGTCAAAGCTCCACAAAGATGGTCCAAAGGGCAGTGGCTGGCAAATGCTGGTACCTAGTAATACTCGAGAGGGTTCTTCTGGGTTTGGGTTAGTTCTTCTGGGTTAAATCTGGGACAAGTAAGTAAGATATAGAGTCATTAAAATAACTGCATTACAGCAGCTAAGATCCCCGAGCTAAAGGTAAACACCACAATAGTACCAATGTGCTGGCTGTAAAAATTGAGCAAGATACCTAAAGAACAAGCGGTTGCAATAAGAAAGATGAAGACTTTCTTAACTTTTCAAAAGAAGTAAAAAATACATGACTAAAGTAAGAAAAATGACTCCTTTATAAGCCATTATGGGGAAAATGTTTCTGTGACCTACCATATGTTTCAATTACTGTGATTTATTTGACCTTTTGCAATTTTCTACAAATATCATACGAATAGTGCATCAAAAATTACATTAAAACTTATACTCATAAATAAATGAGGCTTTTGAGTTCACATGCTATGAATCCATTATCAAACACACCCATAAAGAAAAAAAATGATGGTGTGTGGCAGAATAGCAGGTATGGTTTAAAAATCCACCAAGGTCTAAGCCTGAATTATGAAGAGGAATAAGCTGATGATACCTGCAGAAGTTTCCATCGCATATTAAGGTCATCTAGCTGGCGAGACATCTTCAGAGATGGGTGCAGGTCAAGTGGAGACAGCTGACTCGATAAATCATTCATTGTTTTAACTTTTAAGTTGATTGGTGCAATTTCTTCTCTAAATGCCTGGAAGAAAAGGACAATAATGAGGGCATCAGAAAAGAATATAACGGAAGGTGGTATGTATTTTGAACTTTCCAATGGCAAGATCAGCTGAGAGGCCAACAATTGTTTAATCAACAACGGCTGATTCACATCCGGTCTTCAGCAGTCAAGACCACCAGCTAAAGACTGTCAAACAACAGCGGGAAGGCCGGGAAGGGTTGGGGGGGTGGTAAGAGATCAACCAAAGGACTTGTATGCATGCATATAAGCATAACCAATGGACACAGGACACTGGGGAGTAGGGGAGGCCGGGGAAAGGTCAATGGGGAAAAAAAAGGAGACATAAGTAATACTCTCTGTAATACTTTAAGCAATAAAACAAAATTTTAAAAAAAGAGTCTTCCTTTATATCACGGACAAACTGAGACAGGACGTGACGAGAAAGATATAATGCAAACACATTAAAGTATGTATTTCCTTCAAATTTTTCATTATATGTGGTTTAGTCTAGATAATATCTGCCATTATAATCTACTTTATGAATTTCTAGTCTTGATTCTATCTTTAAATTTCTTCCATACTTCCTTCTCTTTTCTTTCTTCAGATGGCTACCTTAATATTTTTTCACCAATGCAACAACTTGATTTTAACAAGTTTTCATCGAAAATTAACTTTAAAAGTGGCCAGTAAAACCATCTTCCTTAACCACAAAACCGATGCCTATATGTACTGGAGAGGTAAGGCTGTCCCTTTCAAAAACATTTGTGATCATTGAGATAGATACAGGAAAAGAGGGAAATGAAGCTTAGAACTGACAAATGCCACCTCTGGCACAGTCCAGAGCTGGTACGGTTTGGGATGAGGAGGGTATGTGAGAGAGAAAGAAAAAAACAAAACAAAAAATAATACTTGGGCCATGACAGTCATCTGTCCTGTGAGAGCAAGCAGAATAATACAAACACTACGTTTTCTCCATTCCTCACATAATTTTACCTGCCTCATGTTCAAGCCTCCCTTTCCAACTGTCTGCCTAGATCCTTTAAGACTCCACTCAGGTGCCCGCATACACACCATTTCAGAAAAGATTTCCCTCGGGCCCTCCCATGGGTTCCCCAGCATTCTCTCCGCCTTCTCCAACCCAGCCAGGACATTCAACGAGCACCTGTTTGACACACAAACTGGGCTTTATAGTGGAGGCCACTCTGATTGTTTGGTGCCATTACCATCCAGTTGTTATGTAGTTTAAATATCTTTCCTTATCAGAGCTCTTAGTACATAAAAGCATAAGCATCCATATTCTTAATGCCCCCCCCCCTGTAGAATGGAAGCTTCTTGAGACAGGCACCTAGCAAAATTCAGCACAAGATTTGCAATACAAGAGGGACAGACCTCCTTTCTATTGACACAGGCCCAAAAAATGATTTTTGAAGCAAGATTAAGCCAATATGGAATTGGGAACAGAATGGGTTCTAAAAATAGAACTGTGTAATTTTATTTTTTTGGTACATCATAAGATTAGAGTGAATTATGTATTAAATTTAACTCATGGGTATTAGGTGTTGTGAACATCCTATTGGCATCAGCCCTCAGGTTTTAATCCCCACAGTTAAGAGACTAGGCATATGCCCTTTCTCCTCCTCTTTCATCACTCCAAGTTGAATGAAGTAATATGTATTAAAGTGCTTTGGGGACTATAACATTTTATTAAAATACTACAACTATTAATTTGGCTTCCTCCTTATGAGTATAAAAAGAAAGCCCCTTTAACTACTTCCCTCCTTCCTTCTCTTCTCCAAAACTTTTCTAGTTACCCTATAGAATTCTTCCTTATATAATGCACATTGGCTAAAAATAATCATTATGATTGATAAACATCAAAATAATATTAAGAATATAACTGTTTTTTAAAGGAATTAATTCTAGGCAAATCGGAGAATATGCTTCAGTGTTTCAAAATTTTGAACATGCCTAAAAGCCACATTAAGAAGCTAAGGTGGGGACTCAGCGGGGGCAGATCTGGAGCCAGAGTCGGAGTGAAAAGTACGGATGGTGGAGGTAGCAGTGCATACATTTGAAACAATGTACCTGCACGCCAACGGGCCAAAGGTAAGAAACATCACCAGAATCTAAAGACATCGACATTTCAAAATCGGTAGAAGAAGGCAAGCCCACAAAGACATGTATTGCTGCAAAATGGAAAAAGAAAGAACTCGGAGTTGTGATAGCTTCTCTCCATGGCTGATGTCAGACAGTGCACACACATACAGCCCAGCGAGGAAAGCAGTTATATGATAACAAAGGCATTTTGTTAATATAACATAGGCCTAAGGAATTAATCACTGAAACGGACCCATGCGACAAAGAGAATTGGGAGTTAGGATGGGGAAGGAGAATTTTTTCAGCCTGGACTTTGAAGAAACCTGGTGTCCCTCAGATTCAGTTTCAGAATACCTACAAAATTTAAACCCTTCAAGCTTTCTTCAGTTGTGATTTTAATATTATACATTAATATTCTCTCCTTGGAGGACTCAAGATTTTTAATCTGCTTTTAAAATCAATATCTTTGTAAAATACCAAAACATAGATATTAAAGATTAAAAATAAAATGCTAGAAAATATTCTCAGATTTATAAAATTTTAAATGGCCTTCAAAAGATGCCCTTCAGAAGATAAAACTTTTTAAATTAGATTCTAACACTAAGACAGACTTTAAAATCTTCCAGAATGATAAAATAATGTTTTTCTCTCACAAGCCACAGGTAAAAACATGAAAAGATCTGTGACAAACAAGGTCTGTAGGTTTTGTTTCTGTTGCAGTGGTCAGGTGTTTTATGGCAACAAGAAATCTCTTAAGGAAGTATATAGTTTGGTTTGTAGAAGCTTCCAAATTAAGGGGCTAGAAATAAAGCAAGTTTTAAAATGATCTCAGATCTGCCATGTGTTCTATTATAAAGAAGCAATTTATCATGTTCTGGCTGCACTTTCCTATAGGAGAATAAAAATCTATGTGGTCTTCTGGCCGTAAAAACAGAAACATCTGCTGGTATTAAAGGCACTGCCTGGCAGCCTGTTGGCAGATGTGAAGCCCAGACTGGTCTCCAATCAGGTGTGCATTATGCAAATAAGAAAGACAAGGTAATTTTAGGGAGTTAAAATTATTTGATTACCCCAAAGATTTAGTTTCCCACTTGCTTTGGCATATTGAATAATATTTAGCAATAATCAGTACTTATTTTCATCTGCCTGCAGCTTCGATGGGATTTGGGGTATATGTTAGAACACATGTAAAATGCCCCAACTGTAAGATCTGGGTTTTTATTTTCTTTTTTCCTAATACGATGTTAAAATATCTTAATCCACAGTTTATTCCTTTCTCTTAATATTAATTGTAACTTTCCTAGCTTTCCACGTAAGCAGAGATTTGAACAAAAGGATTTGGATGCAGCGCTGGATAATTTCTTTAATCAAATCAGATTAACAACGCCAAAACTTTTTGGCCTTTAATAACCTGATGCAACTTTTTATTTTCATCCAACACTAATCATCCTATATTAAAAACTGATATTTCAAATTCAAATGGATAAATTCTTGCTCTATCCAAAAGACATCTTGCAGTCCAAAGGAACACGCGTTAGTAGACCACTGACTTGAAGATCTTCAGTGTTTAAAACCATCTTTTAAAATACAGGAAGTAGCCCTAGCAGGTTTGGCTCAGTAGTTAGAGGATCAGCCCGCAGAATGAAGTTTCCCAGAGTTGATTCCAGTCAAGGGCAGAAGGCAACCAATCGATATGTCCCTCACATCGATGTTTCTCTCTCTGTCTCTCCCCTTCCTTCCACACTCGAAAAATTATTTTTAAAAATATCCTTGGGTGAGGATTAATAAAAAATAAAATTCAAGAAGTATGCAACTTCCGAAGGAGCTTTATTTTCACTTGGTTATTCAAAACTCAGATCCATCCATAGACATGGATTTTAAGATACTAGAGTTGTAGGAAGAAACTCACTTAACTCATTGGGTGGCTGGAAAGGTGTGTATATTTAAAATGAAAGATGGCAGGCACCAATACTCTTTTAGTAATAATATTTTTTAAGTTTAAATTTTAACATGTAACTTTTAAAGCTTTGAATTTAAATAGATGATCAAAATTGTGCTTAATTACCTTATTATGAATGAGGTCTCTACAATGAAAGTGAAGAGCAAGAAACAGATCATGAAAACTCTACCACTTACTAGCCATGAGGGCTTGAGCAATATCTTCAAATCCATCCTTTATAAAATGGGCATAATAATAATGCCTATCCTGTTGGGTTAGTGTGATGATTAAAAGAGATGGCCATGTAAACTGCTAAGGAAGTTCCAGGCACACAGCAAGCCTCAATAAACGCTATTATTCCCATGCCCCCCACCCACATATATGTAATTATCTAAGTATTCAGTTAAATACCTAGACCTTTCTTCTCTTCCGATTCAGCCACATGTTTACAAACAAAGGGAAAGCATTATCCAATGTCTGTGCACAACAGAGGGATGTCTTTTGCAATAAAAATCCTATTCATGATAGATATTATCAATTAACACCTTCTGATTTGTCACTAGTTCATTCTTTGATTTGATTTCTAACTATGCAGTATATAGTTTACCATGCTATTACAAACCACACTATACTCTAAATCTGTTATTTGTTTCTCTAACTGCTTAAATCCCATTAACTTTATTTCTGGATATGTCCTAGAATACTGTATCAAAAGGGGGTCCAGAAGACAGATCTAACACCTCAACTTCGGGCTATTCCTGACCACAAACAGAATTTATAGCTAAACGAATCTTTCATTGATATACTCTAATGTTTGAGTATATTATATAGTATAGATATGCTATATATACATATTATGTAGATAAGAATTCCCAGTAAAACAGGATACTTTTGATTAAAACTTAAATTAAATTCAATACCAATTTACAGCAAATACAGCGTAGAGAGGAATCTGCCAGATTACACCATGTGGATGACATTCTGCAAATTCCAAGCTGTGAGAAACACTATAAAACAAACAATTCAGCTGCCTTAACAATTGCGTTGCAAAAAAAAAAAAAAAAAAAAAAAAAAAGATGGAGGGGAATATTAGAGATTAAAAGGGACTTTAAAATATTTCTTAAAAAACCAAGCAAGTGTTTAGGGATGCACAGTGGAGTAAAAAAAATATTTTTTCAAAAATAAAGTAAATTATGGAAAAAAGTCAGAGTTGCTATTGGGGGGAGGATTCTGATGGCAAGGGGCATAGGAAAGCATCTGTTGTGACTGGAAATCTCTATCCTGATTTTGGCAGGGGCTGTAATGGCATTGACCTTATAACAATCCCTTATAACAAGTTACACATTTGGCTCTCTTTAATTGTGCCATATTTAACCATAAAACATGTCGTAAGATCCCTTATCTGAGGCAGTGATGCTGACCATGGTTTTTTCAATGTGATCCTGCAGCGAGTCGATGAGTAAGTCGCCGACGGGCTTCCAGCCATTCCTCACGGCCTCTGCCTCCTTCATGTCAGCATCTAGGTCGTCCATGGCTCCCTGAAGGTCTCTGAGTTTCTCCAACGCCTTGTCCACCTGCTTTTGCCAGTTACTAGTTACAGCATTTAGACTTTCCCACTTCTCTTTAACTTCCGAAGACTGTTTGCGCATGGCTTTGGCAATCTTTTGGGCTCTCTCCTCGGGAGTCAATTCTGTGATTAAACAAAAAAAGAGAATATTTGGAAGCCTAATCAACTTTGTATTCCTTATAGTCAAGTGTGAAGAGCATCTTTTGAAACTTTGCTACCAGGGTACTAGGAGGCAGAGTTACACTAAACGGGGGAAGAACGAGTGTGTCTATACCTCTTCTAAGAATGCCCTGATGCTTCTCAAAAGAAGAAAATAGTTACAGAGTAGTAAGTGGCCCAGTGATTTCAGCAACTTCTAAATTTTACTATATTTGCAAACCTTGAAATATCACAAGTAAAAAAAAAATAACAATTTTTCTTTCACATGTATTTCACATGTTATATAAAAACCAAAGACCATTTTTCATTCCATTGTCCTACAGAGAAATGGGGAGTATAATTAGGAGATAAATCGCTTTAAGTTATGAGGAAAAACTATGCAAAAAGAAGATGAATTTATCATGTTCTTTAAGAACAAAAACAAAAAAACAAACAAAAAGTAACTTATCTTAGCTGAGTTTGTTTGGCACTCATCTTTAATACAGGGTGTTTTCTGTAGTCCAGGATCAATGTAGCACAGAACCAATGTTACAAGAGAAAGATGTAAGATTTCAAGGACCATCCCAAACATTTCATGAGGGCTTCCAGAATGTCTGAGGTAAAGTTAGACTTTCAGACAGGGAAGGGAAGGCATGATGCAAAGTCCTGCCACAGGACAGGGGCAAAAAGACAGAGAGAGAGTCTAAAGACAAGGAAAAGATAATGACAGAAATGAGAGTCAAGTTCAAAGCTCAGGGTCAGAAACAAAGACATGAGAAGCTGTCAAGAAAAGGGTAGAGGAATTGGATGCACATAAGCAGGTTAGATAGATCACCAGCTAAACCCCCCTGGGCCTCCCTGCCTCAACACCTGAGGATGCCTCCTTCCCTAGCCAGCTGATTTGACGGTTTTCTTGCTTGACCACTGGAAACAGAGATGCAGGTCAGAAACAAACAAGTTAAACTATAAATTACTTTAAGATAGAAATGCACATTCTTGTTTGTGATAACATCCACCTTTTTGTGTCAGTCACATTTTTTAGCAACTTCCTCTGCACCTCAAAAATGTTCCAAATCACCATAAAATGAACTCGAGTTCATCGAACTTCCTAGGGAGACAAACTCGGCTAGCCCTCCTTAACTATAGCTTTCATACTCAACATAAATTTGTCTGTCTGTCTTTATTTAAATGCTATTTAAGAAGTCAAGTTAAAGGGGCCTGGACATATGTTTTTATCTATCTAAATTTCCAGAATATTCTAGATATCAATACTTAGACTTAACAGCAGCTATGGTAAATCTCAGGGACCAAATGGACTCAAGAATTTAGTAACCATAGAGCTCTGAGTTGCACTGCTGAAATGCTCTGAGGCTATAGAGACACTTGAAAAATCCCTTGGAAATAAAATTGATTATCAGAAGAGAATGTGGTATGATAGGTAGACTAAATATACCAGCACATGATAAATATGGAAAACTAAGTGAGTCCAAGACCCAGCTTCAAGGAAGGCTGAAGCTGGAATACAGTCCAGCACAACAGTCAGGGGAGGAATCAAGAAGCTGGGAGAAAAGCCCTAAACCATGCAATACATCAGGATTCCAGGGTTCCTGAGAAAGGACTTTGGGAGAAAAGATATGTCTTTAGGCAAACCTTATTTAAATCCTATTCCTTCAAGATATTGAGAAAAGGGCAAGTATGTAATACTTATATTATATATAATTTATTTTTATATAAATATAAAATGCTATATGTGAGTTGAAACAATGATTCATAAATGGCTGGATGAGAAAGGGAATTGACCATTTCTCTAATGGCAACAGCGGGGTTTGATAATAAGCCACTTGGGCTTTTTAAAAGATATATATTGAATTGCTAATGTCTCACTTTTGTAAAAAAACAAAACAAGAAAAAACACACACAGTACCAATTTCAGAACAGACAATTTAAGTATAATCATTTTCCTTGGATGCAATAAAAGCTGTGTCTGAGCCAGTCATGGAATTACCTGAGACACAGCTTCTTTCTCCTATGACAAAATACCTGACACTGGCTGTGACCTTTTGTCTTCTATGTAAAACCTTTTGATTGAGCAGTCCTTTTGTAGTATATATTATATAGTCCCTACTCAAGCAGCTACACAGAAAAAAAGGAAAGCTCTATTTCACCATCTGTTTGCTGGAAAAAAAAAATGTTATCTAACCAGAGTCAGAAAAATAGTGCCTCCTACTAAAGCAATAATCTGTTTTTTATTATTACTAGAGGCCTGGTGCACAAAATTCATGCACGGGGGAGGGGAGGTGTGTGCCTCAGCCCGGCCTGCGCCCTCTTGCAATCTGGGACCCCTTGGGTAGGATCCCTAGGCCTAGCTGGCGATTAGGGCCTATTGGGGCTTTCCTTTCCCCGGCTGCTGGCAGCTGGCCCCGCCCCCACCGCTGCCACTGCTTCTCATCTTTGTGACGCTGCCCCCTTCCCCTGCCACCAGTCACCTCCCTCTGCAGGCAACAGGCATGGGGTGCAATCACTTGGCTGGCCTGGGCCTCCATCTGAGGGACAATCGCTGGCCAGCCCTGTACACCCGCCATAGCGTTGCTGGCCGGTAGCCTGGGCCTCCCTCTGTGGGGCGATTGTGGGGTGATGGCGGGGCCCCCCCGACCAATTGCATTGCACCTGCCTTGGCTGGCCTGGCGCCAGTGCATATCATAGCTTGATCGTCTGAACGGTCGTTCTGCTGTTTGGCCAGTCGATTTGCATATTACACTTTTATTATTATAGACTAGAGGCCCAGTACATGAATTCGTACACATTGAAAGGAAATTAACTAGAAGAAATATTTTAGAGGCTGGGGAGGGACCACAGGAGGTTGGCTCCAGGGCATGCCTGGCCCATTTCACCCAGTCCCAATTGGGGCGATTGGGGCTAGTCAGCCAGGAAGAGACCGTGGGAGGGTTCCAGGGCATGTCCTGCCCATCTCGCCCAGACCTGATCAGCTAGACCCCAGCAGCAAGCTAACCTACTGGTTGGAGTGTCTGCCCTCTGGTGGTCAGTGCATGTCATAGCGATTGGTGAAGCGGTCGACTGAATGGTCTACCGATTGGTTGGACACTTAGCATATTAGGCTTTTATATATATACATACATATATATATTATTATTATTATAATTGACGAGAGAGAGAGAGAGAGAGAGAGAGAGAGAGAGAGAGAGAAAGATTATTGATCGGTTGCCTCCTACACATGTCTGACCAGGGATCAAACCTGCAACCTATGTATGTGCCCTTACCAGGAATCGAGCCTTCACCTTTTGGTATATAAGAGGATGCTCCAATCAACTGAATCACACTAGCCAGGGCAACAAACTCAGTTTAATGAAGACTTTAAACCAAGAACAGAGTGTGGTCCCTAATCAAACAAAAACTTCTCAGGGCATTTGTGAAACAGGTAATATGAAGCAATACTTGAAATATCAATTTATGACAATCTGGAGTAAGAAAATAAAAAAAATTTTTAAAAATCAAAACAGCAAAATAGGAGAAAAGATAAAAATAAATAATTACATGTTAAAATCCTCTTGTTCTTCAAAAATCAAAGAACAAAGTTTGCTTCAAATTTTGTGAATAGATATTTTGTGGTAAGGATCTTCTTGAGCCGTGGTTCTGAATACTGGTGACATTAGAAACCATCTGAGAGTTTGTTTGTTTGCTTGTCTGCTTTTAAATGCTGATCCCCAGGGTACCTACCCCAAAGGATTAAAAGATTCTGACTAAGTTGGTCAAGGGTGAAGGGCAGCAAGAGTGAATGTAATGTGTTACCAGGTCACAGCTTATAAATTGAATACTCTGGTTCCTACTGCTGACACTCACAGAGGATTTCCACTCCAGTGAGTTGTGTCATTCCCACCCACAACAGAGCCACTGACACTGAAGGCCAGAGAGCAAAGAAATCTATTTTGTATTTGAAAAGGCAGTAATAGAGGCTAACCCCAGAGACCGAGGAAATAGCAGGATAAAACTAAATAAATGTATTGACAATTCTCAGACCAGCAGCACTTTTCCTTTGTCACTCTCCTATTCCTTATTGTGTATGTGTGTGTTTTGTGTATATGTGTGTGTATTCTTTGAGGGGGAAGTATTTTGTTTCACTCTTCATTTTTTCATCCTCCTACTTTCAGGCCTTCCCATTTACTGGACCAAATTTTGAGAACGGAATCTCATTTAATTTCTATATTTCTATTCTTATATTTGTATTATATATGTAATAATATATTGCAACTATTACTACATTTATTGTATATTTACTTTAAAATAGCCATTTTTATTGTGTTACAAAGATATCCAAAGGAGAGTATCTTTTAGGAAGAAGGAAGATGAGAAAGAAGAAAAAAGAGCCCAGCTGCAGTGGCTCAGTGGTTGAGCATGACAGTTTGATTTCCAGTCAGGGCACATACCTGGGTTGCCACCTTGATCCCCAGTAGGGGTCATGCAGGAGGTAGCCAATCAATGATTCTTTCTCATCATTGATGTTTCTCTCCCTCTCCCATCCTCTCTGAAATCAATAAAAACATACTTTTAAAAAAGAAAAAGTAAAAGAAGAGAGGAGAAAGGAATAATCAATCCTGAAGTTTGCTCTCTGGTCCAATTATCTTTATCCTTCAACTTTGCAGATCAGTTGGATGGCATTTACATCACACTCTGCTTTATATCTTGAGGAGAAAGACCATAATATGACTCACTGTAATACAGGTGAAAAACCAACTTGGACCAGGAGCAGAGACTAGGATTTGTCATTAGCCCTGCCCCCACCTTGACCTTCACTCTGAAGCAAGCTTCATGACCTGCTTTTCCCAGCTGTATCGGGTGGGAACCCTATTTTCTCATGCTGGGAAAACATTTTACACCTACAGACTCTTTTACCTCTAAAATTCAATTATATAAGAAAGGCAGAGCTGCCTTAAGAAATCTTAATAGTAGAGGGGGAAAAAAACATCTCC